TTGAGTGGTGCACTTTGGTACTGCTTCCGAGTACCTGTATGACCACTTAATTTGCGTTGAACGGCCATTGCGCTAAAAAGACAAATTCATAAAACGAAATTAAATTTATCTTTGATTTGCTGCCCTCATTTCCGCCGCGTGGCTTCTAATTACCCTTTTTTTTAATGAAGATGAAGGTGTGTTGAAATTTTATTTTATTTTTAACCACATGGAACTGTCAACTTTCTTTTTAGGCACCGGTTGGGACTGGTTCGTTCTCGGTAGAACTGGTAAATGAACCGCTATTTTGAATTCATCACTGAACTGGAACTGAACCGGAACAATATGCAAAGCTACTGAACCCGAACCTGAACCGAACCGGAATGATGATCAGTTCGACTCCCTGATTAGGGACATCGCGACTATTGAAGGTACTCTTGCACTGACATTTAGTCTCCTCAACCGCAGCAAGACCCATCAGTTTTTTAGTTCTATGTTTATCTCTCGCAAATAAACCGCTGCTTTTAAAATATTTACAATGACCCAGAACTGCCATATGCCCGCCTTTATAATGGCCAGATGTCTTGAATCACGTACCCATTTGATTGATCCGAGAACGAATAGAGCGACAAGTTTGCTTCGTAACCTCCGGTCTTCTGAAGTCTATGTTGAGAGAGAAGATGGAATATGTGCAGAGACAGAGGTACACGGAGAGACATATAAAAATAAGCGCGTAACCACTATATTATTCTCTGAGAGAGAGACCTGTGGACTTGAATTTCTATTCCGGTCTTCCAATTCTCACTAGAAGTACGCCTTGCGCGCTGACAGCGTCACCTAATGTAGCTTGTCTTGCGCGCTGCACGAACGCAAGTGAATATGTTCGTAGACCAGTCTAGAAGACGTAGACAGTCTTTCTCACGCACATATATCGGAAAATGCACTCACGCATGCCGACATACCGGCGAAGTGAGGCGTTTGAATATCAGGACAATCTCACTCATACAAATGCATACTCAAATAGGCACATACGCACACACGCCTCTCTCAGAGACAGTCGTGGGAGGCTTATTGTACCGGTACGAATTTCCACACCAATACATTCGCGCACGCACATTGACCCTTTAAACCAAGCGGGCCTGCGCAGATACGGTGACCTGACAGGTTGACACAAACGTCATCGCCATCTCCAGCAGGCAAACAGAGAAGGTTAACGAACATAAACCGGTGGCCTTCGTGTTTCTGATTTTGAGGGCAAAAAGAAAAAAGAAGTTACGGGTTTTGTCTGGGTTTCCTTTTTTCCTTCTCTCCAAGTCCCACTTGTCAACCCGTGGCGCGTCTCTGTTTGCACAGCGTCCGGGGCTGCGGCCCCGGACACTTTCTGCGGGGCCTCTAATACCACGCCCGCGCAACCCGGCCCCGCTCTTCAACCTATCCCCATCAGGCTCACTCGTTTGGCTCCGAGCAAACAGGGCCCATTGTCTGTCGAGCAGGTCTTTGTTTTTCGCGCAACAGGGCATGCGTTTCGCACGCATTTATACGCTGTGGTTTATAACTGCGTTTCGCACGCATTTATACGCTGTGGTGCGACCTTTCAATGGGATAGCGTTTAGGACCGTCGGCGTCGGTGGGACCAAAAAGTCCCATTATACAACGCGCGCAGCCATGTGTGACGTCACACGTAGTTGTGACGTCATGACCTTACTAACCCGCCGAATTTCCTCGCCAAATTTAGAGGAAAAGTTTCGTGCGAAATGTAGCGGAAAATATTCCCGCCAAATTTAGCCGAAATTTTCCAGCTAAATTTAACGGGTCAATAGGTTCATGACGTCACATCCACCTGTAACGTGTCGCGTCACATGACATGACGTCACACGTTACGCTACCGACTAGATCGCGCACACACGTTTGCACGGTTTGGGACGAGCTCGGGTTTATATGAGAAGGCTTTGCGAACGGGCTGTTAATACTGCAGATGCGGCAAGATGCGGCAACGACATAAGAGTGTTTGGACAACCAAATCCCACTAAGTTTAGTGGCACGTTAAGGCCATTTGCATCCGCCGAAATAATTCACGCCTGCTGTGGCGCATTCAACTTGAGCCCTAACGCCTGATATCAATTTGTTAGCCTAAAGGACCATGTTGTTGCCATAGCTACAACCATTGCCGTTCTCGTCAGAAGTTCCGGTATGCATCTTGGTTCACAAAGTACTGACGACGACAACCGACCAACTTGCACGGCGTGCAAGTTGGTCTGTTCCTTGCGCACCTAGCGCGTTTGTTTACGCCCCATATGCACCCACGTGCTTTTGTTTACCCCGCACCTCGACCTCTTTCGGTGCTTGCTTGCTTGGCTGCCTCGTGATCGCGCGTTGTCTATGTTGCCCTTTGATTGGCGCGCTCCTCATTGCGTGCCAATGAGCTAAAGACGCATTTTGGAACACTTGCTCGCCGTATAGACTCCAATAAGTATTCTAATGATACCGATTTGGCGAGGCTTCTTACCAATAATGCACTTTCATAAATGCTTACAACACTGCTTCGCATCCCTTCATCATCTAGCGAAAAACAATTTTGTTGTTGTTTTCGTTAAGCAACTTTTTTGGGAGAAAAAAGAATGGCGTAGAAAGGATCCCTTAGGCACCCCACGTTTTAACTCAATGAGGCTCCTTGCAAACTTTCTACGAGGTCGGTGGTTATTTATTAACGCGTGTAGTGATTAAAACACTAAAAAAACTTAGAGTTAAAAGTATTATGAAGTAGCTTCCAGTTTCAAATTTAAATAACGCCTTCTCGAAATCTATGAATGCAGACGTCCAAGCATCAATTTCGTCACGTTATAAATAATAGGCAAGACTTCCACCCGCTAACATATATCTCATCGTGTAAAATTTATTAAACAGATCACTCTTCTATCGACTGGGGACCGCTTTAGGTTTGGCTCTACCGAGGCACAGACTCCTCCGACAAAGGAACGGTTCTCAAAATTTTTCTCGTCAACCCGACTGTTGACTTCGAAGGCCACTCTGTAGCCGCCACTACATTATTTACACGAACCCTCTACCCGGTTTAAAAAAAAAAAAAAGTTAGTCACGTGTTCGAGATATCAAAGCTGGTTTCAACTGCGAGTCTCCTGGAGGCTGATGCCGGGCAGACTCGGGTCATCCTAGGAGCGACTTTTAGCGAACAACTTTAGTATTGAAGAAACTCTTCAGTCCACGCTGAAATTAGAGCAAACAGGCCATCTTTGCTGCCTTCTTCCTCTCCTCTATTTTCTCTTCACATTTTTGTCTTTCCCTTTTCTTGACGATAATATTCATTGGAGAAGAGGAATGAAGGTGGCAAAGGACAAACAAGAATCTCCAAGCACAGCTAAGTGCCTGGCGCGCGATCGAAAAAATCCGACTGGTCCGGGGATCGATTCAAAGATTTCACCATATCCAGTGGAGCGCTCTACTAACTGAGCTAACCAGGAGTCAGACGTCAATAGAGTAAACGGGGTTTAACAGTTGCCACCAGTCTAACACCAACGAGTGTGATCGGTCTGCATTTTAAGGTTATGATGATAATTTAGTTAATGCAAAAGTGCAAACGAGCTGACAAGAATGACGATCATATTCCCTGCAGAAGGGGAACAAGGGGGACAAGTGACAAAGAACAAATCTCCACACAGAAGCAGGTGACTGGTACGCGACCGGAAACACACGTCTGGTCCTGGTATCGAACCAGAGACCTCTCCGTTCTCAGTGGAATGGGACGCCATAAAACTATATGAGAACAAGACGGACATAACATTTCTTCTTGTTTCTACACTTTCGCTGTCCGGTTAGAGTTTTTATTGAGTGGATTAGTGCACACATGAGATTAAATATAACAGGAGACGGTGGAAGCCTTGTTAAATTTTAAGACCTTGCGAGATAAATGAATTATTTAAATCTGGCTCTAGTGCCTGGAAAGCGTCTCCGACGGGTGTGTGTTACCGGCGTCCTAAGACGTGGTCCCTCAAATTCCGACGGATTACGTCATGGAAGTGTCGTGTGTCGCCAGCCGCAAAGACAGTGACACTGGCATTATTATTTTTATTATTTAAAATGATGGACGTTTTTGATTTTACTCTTCAACATTTTGAACCCGCGTGAGTGCCTAATAGCCCCATCTTTTTCAGATCTTTCCATTCCCGTTTTCACCAATCTTTGCTTCTTGAGTAGAATCCGTCAAAACCAAATATGCTTTTCAACTATGACGCAGCATGTTTGTTTCCCTCATGAAGCTTGTTCGGGAGGAAAAGCAAGCTTTACAGGGTGAAGGGAGCGCCCGCTAATTCAGCTTTCTGTGTACGCTGTGACATGACTTCGATATCTTCGAGAACGTTGGAATGTGTCGCCACCTGACTTATGTCTGAACAAGGCAGACATGATAGAAAATGGGCTTACCGATATGGCAAGTATTTAATAAACTCTCGGGGAGACACATCACGAGTAACTTTTCTCACCGTGGAAACTTCCTCAATAGAAAACGATATAACACACTTGTGAACAGGATGTATTGCTGGAATGGTTCGGCTCGCCTCAAGACGGGTTCTTGTATGCCGTCGAAAGCTGGTGGTTGCCAGTTTGCCAGTGGATACACTACATGTTGTTGACGTTCAGTGTTTCTTTTTCGCGCGGCATCGCTTCACATTGGGACTTTCCGATCCATACAATCGGGAATTTTATTAGATTGTTCCGATAACGATACGATGAACGCGCATACGCGCTGGGGGACTATCGGTTATGGTTATCGCAGTTATCGGAACGATCCACTAAATCTTTATACTATTGATCCTTGGAACGAAATTGTTGTTTATGCTATATCTGTATCGCGTCATCATATCGAAATTAAGAGATTCGTATGCATGCAATGCAGGGTCATTTTTTCGAACACCAAAATAGAGACCAAACGGTAATTTTATTATTTCTATGCACTAATCTTTTTTCTAACGATGAACATAATTTTTTGTTGTTACCTTTCCACGCTACAGTGAAGCCGTCGACGGTTCGAATCCGGTCCAAACAGCGTCCCCTTGCGGCGGGACTGGCCGCCGAGATCGAGTGCGAGGCGGCCGGATCCCGACCTGCACCCGTGATTACCTGGTGGAGGGGCAAGGAGAAGCTGCCCACGAGCCACTTCAAGGTGCATCTTTAAGATATTCGTTGTGAAACTGAAGGGGCCTTTAGATGCTGCAACATTGAGAAATTGTGCTTACATTTTTTTAAAAATATCTATAACCTAGTTTATTAGTGTAATATGGCAGTTATTTTTAGCATCTCCTGTACAAGATTGAATGTCCTTCAATAAGCCAATAATTGTATAATAAAAAAAAGAAGCCCTGCGGATCTGCCTGCTCTTAAACTTGTCAGTACGCCAATAATTGTGATAGACAAAAACAACCGAACAAATGAAGTGACCCAGAAGAAATGTAGAATCCAAATATAATTTCTTAGCCCTATCCCAGGAAGACGAACAACTTTGATTGTGATTATAATTGGCACACGCCTCTGCTACATTTCTGACTGAACAAATCACTATAAGGTAAAGTAATTTATAAAATTTTATATTTCAGACATTGTGAAAGAGTGACTTAAAACATAGTTCCGGTTTTGTCAAGTACCTCGAAGTTTCATGCAAAGTCTGATGAGCCAAATGCACGAAATATTCATGAATCGGCGTTTTGTACATATCCACCAATAATTTAGTAATACGACTTTTATTGAACAAACTAGCAAAATATAAGAGCGCATTATATCGCTTCTTCATGCTTCACATGCCTGAAATAGCATAATGGTTTAGAAGGAACCGTTCTCTTTATCATGTTATAAGACTACTGCGCGAACACAAAATACAAATTTAAACATATTGATCTTATATAAAGTGCCATACGCCTATATAAAACAAAATGCGTGATCTAATTTTTTAAATAAAATTATCGAAGACATTAGCCTCAATATCCCAATCACTCTCGTTGCTTTACCAAAAAAGCTACTAAAACTAGCGATGTTTCTTGTTTTTATTATTTCATCGCATCTTGATCATCAACACAGGTATCGAACGGTTCCTCGTAAAGTCTCACTCCTTGACAGTTAGTAATGCTTTTAGAAAATCTCCTGCAGGCTCTCCACGCGACAATTCAATAAAAACATAAATGTTAATTTTGTGCTTGGCTTCGAAGGCAATTGCGTCCTCGATAGCAATCCAGAACGCAAGTTCGTCTGCTTCTTTAGCAGGAGTTGTGGTGACGTCAGAAAGACGCCAACTTCTGATTGGCTGTGATTGAAGAATAGTGATTGAAGAAAGCTGTCTTGAGGTCTATCCACTATCCTTCATACTATCCTTCAATCGGAGCCAATCAGAAGTCGGCATTCTGACGTCAGCAGAACCCCTGCAAAAGAAGCGAACCAACTTGCGCTCCGCATTGGCACAAAACAAATTGTATGATCTCACACCGTATGTTCAGTGATCTTTTTTCACTTCATTACTTAATTTTGTACTTTCCTTCTCATTAGCGAGTTCTAGTCTCACGTATCCGAGTAAACGACAAGCATGGTGCCCTTGTCGTGTCTTTGCATGTTCCACTCTGCGCGTGCGCGGGAGCCCTAACTGCGGTCTTAGATTGGCGCGTGGAGCACGCAACGGTAATGCTAATGCACATCGCTTGCGTTTCCTCCTATACGCAATACTAGTGAGTTTTGGTTTTGCGAATACGAGCAAACGCAAGTGCTGTGCGTTTGCGGTAGCGTTGCGGTTTCCACGCTGCGCATGCGCAAAGTCTCCATGCGCCAATCCAAGTCCTCAGTTTGGGCTGCGCGCACGCGCAGTTTGGAATACGCAACACTTACGCAAAGGCACAGGGCTTGAGTTCGCTTGTATACGCAGTACAAAAACTCACTACTAAGACTCTACGAAGTGCCACCGTAGCCAGCGCTATGCGGTCCGACGGAGTGAATCAAGCAGCGCGAAAAGTGCATCGTCATGGCCCTCGTCGTTCTTGTGGGTTTGCCATCCTGGGGCCCTAAGCTGGAGACTTGGCGAAAACGTCGGCGAGAAATCTGGAGGCCGCGATTGGGCAACGCCGCACTTGACCTTGGCGCCGACCAACCATAGCCGCCAAATTTGTCGCCGACTTTTTCGACAAGTGTCTAGCCCCTGGCCTGAACTATATCGTGCACAGAAAACAAAGCGAAGAATCGCGCCGGATTCATCGTACGTGATCGGTTTCGCCAGCGATAAGATCCGCACAAAGACGACAAGCGCCGTGACGATGCTCTTATGGCATAGCCAGAGTGGCCCCGTGGAATCGTAGCGCTAGCTGTGGTCGCACGTAATGGGAAAATTAGCATTTTTAATGGGGAGGGGGGGGCTGCAATTAAAATTTGGGAGTTTAATTTTATCATCAGCATTGCCATTGCGCGTGAATCTGGCGATAATTCTCGCACGTAGATCTTGCTGATCGGCAACCGAATCTTCTCCGTGGTGGCCTACACACCAACACGGGAGGACAAGGGCAAGAAACTGCGCTGTCTGGCTGAGAACCCCAACTTGATCGGCAGCTCAATTGAGGCGTCGTACATCCTTGACGTTTACTGTGAGTGCGCTATATAATTTTTTTTTATTTCATCCCAGTCCCACGTCCCGTAGTTGAAAAATCCTGTATGAGGGATGAATAAAAAAATACAAGCTAGGCACTACAGCCGGGGACACGTAAAATAATATAGTAAAAGCTAAAAATAAAAATAATAGACAGTCGCGATTACAAAGTGAGCTTTTCCCAGTAGGTGTGGCGAGTGCAAAACGATGTCTTCCCGCATACCGGAAGTTCCGGAATTCAAAATGGCCGCGCCCGCTCAAGAAAGATCTAGGTCACTGACTTATTTAAAAGGCGTAGGGCGTGAGGCGTCTCGTCCAACTTAATATCGCTCCTAAGCCAATGTAATTGGAGGTTTAGCCAAGAAGAACGCTAAAGGCCAATCACGAAGCTAGAAGTTTGAGCATATAATTAGCCACACCCTTCGCGTCTTAGCCTGTCAGCGACCATGCCCACTTTCGGATTTTAACATGAGCTTAAAACGTCATGTGTACTCTTGTTTACGTTGTCGTTCACTTGAAATTTTATTAAAACAAAAACAAAGGACGTGTGCAGCCTGGAGGCCAGAATCATGAACGATTATCATAAAAAAATCTGAGGGGTAAACCAAAATATGTTAATGGCGCTCCCTAAAACCTGGGTCGTACACACACTCAAATCAATAAGTACCCTCGCAGCATACGTACAGTAATCAACCACTACACCTATTCGTTGCACGCGTGTACGTGAGCAAGTATATGCGCATGTGATGGAATCTTGGTTTTAATTGCTTCTGGGTTGTTTGTATAAGTATGTCCGTGCGCACTTATGCGTTTTTTTATGCTTATACTTATGGGCTTACCTGCTCGCGTATATTGCCTGTGCCTTTGCATGTTTGTGTTTTTTCACCTACAGGCGAAGGGGTGTGTATGCCTGCAGGTCTGCCTTTGTATTTGTGTTCAGGCATTCATATTTGTGCTTGTGTGCGTGACTTCCTGGGTGTGTTTGTACGTGCATAGGTGGGCGTGAGAGTGAGTCAGCGGATGTGACTGTCTGCTGTCTACGTACACCCCGAGTTAATATAAGAAACACTCAAATAGATTCTTGCTATGCCTACAGTTCCCGCAAGCTTTATTGACTGTTAAATTGTTAAAGAATTCAGAGATGGAGACCAGATACTTGTGTTTCAGCGGATATTTTGACTCGAGTTTCTTTAACCACGAACAGCTAATTCAAAGAATAATAGAAGGCTTTATCAGCGCGTATTGTTTATGGTAGTGCCTGTCAAACCACAGACGCCTCAAAAAACTTGATTAGCGTGTCGGCAAAAAAACAAAAAAAGAAACGCATTTCGGTGTGCTCCCATGCAGTCTGCTCGTTCCTGGTGATAGTTGCACCTTCCCACTGTTTCAGACAAACCGGTGGTGAGGCTGCAGCTGGGGAAGCGTCTTCGGCTAGAGGAGATTTTCCAGGGCCAGGACCTGTACCTGGAGTGTAGCATCGACGCCAACCCAAGCGTCTCCGAGGTCGTCTGGAGGTTCGAGGGAAGGGAAGTGCGCTCGAATCCAGCAGCCAAGGTCATCACCAGCAACCAGTCTCTGGTCTTCCAGGCTATCCAGAGGCAAAACGCGGGACGCTACATTTGCGTCGCGATCAACTCCGAGGGCGAGTCTGAAAGCAACGAGGTTCATCTGAGAGTGCAATGTGCGTACCATGATCGTTTTGCTTCGCAATATTGAGGACATGCCCAGCCCAAGTCCTTTTTTCTGTAGTGATAGACTCCATGATTATACTATGTCCTAAGTTTAGTTGCAATTGATGCCCTATTGAAAATTCCATCAAGCTACGTAATTTGGGACACTGACTGCCAGTCAGCAGCCTTGGTGGAACGTGATGGACCATCGGACGTCATCTGATGGTCCATCAGATGACGTCTGACTGCCACTGCCAAGGGAATTTCATCATCAAGGGCAGCATTTATATAAGAGTAAAGCTCTACGCACTCATAAATATCGTCAAATGCTTCGATAAGACAAAATGTTCCAGAAAAAGAAAAACAAAAAGCAGGACCACCGCGGATCGAACCCGCGACCGCTTGCGTACAAATCGGACATTTTAAACGCTATGCTACGCCACCGCTACAGAAACTTGATTTGACTAATCGTTTTATACAAGATGCTTCGGCTGCAAATGCAGTTAAGCCGTCAGCATGTTATGAAAGCACTCGTACATCACTCGCCGTACTTCAGTTCTACTCACCTGCCCTGTAGAGTACTTTCGCGTCGTAGAATGATCCTTTTGTTCGCGCGTCATCGGCCCAGTAGACCTGGTACACCTTGTCGTCTTCAACTACACCGCTAAAGTCCCTTACATCGTCGGAACTCACAACAGACTGGGTCTTGTCGAGTAGAAATTCTACTAAAACATAAGACATTGTAGAGCCCGGGCAGGATCGACAGGTTGGAGCAAGCGGGCAAACAAAACGAGTCGAGAGCGATCGTTCATGAAAGCTCGGCGAAGCCTCCATGGGCGAAGCGAAGTGCGAAGTGTCGTGTTCGACGCTTCGGCGGCTTCGGCGGGCTTCTGATCAAGGTTGTCGGTCGGTTGCGTGTCACATCTCTAACGTCAGCGGTTTTATGGGCTCACGTCCCGAAATCGTTTTCTCGTGCATAGATTACTTTTCGTATTCATAGATTAGACGAAATAGTGGTATCCGAACGAACTTTACGTCCTTTGACCGTACTTCTGTCTGCACGTCAAAGCTTTCTGACGTACAGTCAGAGACAATCGATGTACAGTCAGAATCACCACCAGGTCATCCTGATGGCATTTCGCGGCGGCCGACTGCCACCAGGAAACCATCAGAAAGCCGACAAGCGGGGTCTGAATGGAGTTTGACTGTCGGTCAGAGTAACTTGTTGTCCAATCAGACATGCTTGACGTACAGTCAGGCACAGTCAGCGGTCCACTAGAAAACATTGACTGCCAAACAGCGTTACATTGATGGATTTTTCCTTCGGGTGGGCATTTAAACAGTATGATACAACGAATAAGTTTTAAACCTTACCGGTCGCAAAAGAGCTAAGCCTAAAATTGAAGCCCTACGAATGGTGAAAAACAACAAGTTTAAATTGCGACTAACTTTTTCTCGTTTTAAAGAATTACTACATCCCAAACTTTTCCAAGGGTTTAGCTTAAATTTACCATGAACGGTGTCTGTAAAAAGTGAAAGATCCCAAAGTCCCCAAAACGAAACACTTCACCAGAAGAATGCATTATAGTCCCCTCACTTGCATTTGATAGCGCGCATTAGAGCACCAAATCCTCTCCTATCGACGAAAACACACCGCGTCCGAGAAAACGCAAGCGCATTGCGCTGTCCATGCTGTCGCGCATTCGTGCTGCGACAAGGAAACTGCCACCGACGCACCGAGAAAGGGGATTCGCCAAAACAACGAAAATGGCTGTCTCCGTTGTCTCCAAGTCGAAGAGAAAAACCATCAGGATGCGCACGACCAGCTGATCTAACTACTCAAAAGCTGTCGGCTCCAAGGCAATTGAATTTTCGCGTCTTATGATGGACCATTTGATTATAAGTAAAGCATTTGATTATAAGTATTGATTAATCTGTCTCTCTCCCCTTCCCCCTGCCAATGCAGATTCGCCGGTGTGTTCGTCTCGGCAGCGCACCGTGTACCCGGCAGCGGCGCACGAGATGGTGCAGGTCTCGTGCGACGTGGACGCCCACCCGTCCGTGGTGAGCTTCCGCTGGGCCTTTAACGGCACCTTGCGGAGCCATGAGGTGCAGAGCTTCGTGTCCGAAGGTGGCCGTAGTGTGGCCTCGTACGTGCCCCGGGAAGAGGCCGACTACGGCTCGCTCCTCTGCTGGGGCGCCAATGATATGGGCACCCAGAAGACGCCCTGCCAGTTCAAGGTCACGCCGGTCGGTACGTGCGTCCGAGTCATATCCTTCTCTTGTCGATTTCCATGTAGACCGGGCATTGTACCCTCCTGTCCTGCACTTATTCTTGCTGCGTGACTCACGTGAAATTCATGTCAGTAGTCGTACTGCACTCGCCAAATGCCTTCTCAATAGCGCGAACACAAACAGACACGTTCAGTTCAAGCTCTTTAATGTGCGTACAGCTAGTTTTTCAGAAAGTTATTCACTTCCCACCTATTTACTACGCGAGAAAATGTATTACAAATACTACAGCACTGAACTGAAACTTTGGTTACATCAGGTGTTTTAACTGGATGATACGGAGATAGATGAGTGAGCGCCACGTAGACGCGCTGGAAGCCGGAGGAGCTCATAGAATCCCGCAGAGGCGTCGACGAGGGAAGAGAGGGATAGCGGCGAGAGAGACAGAAGGGGCGATGACAGGCAGCCCTCTTACTCTTTCTCAATCGCCGTACCCCTCGCGCACGGCGGCTCACTCACTTAGTCCAAGATATCATGTGGCTTTTTTTGTGTGAACACGCCGGATTTTGCCCCGAAAGAGACACTAACAGCTACCGCTCTAAAATACTACCAGCGAAGCGGTCACCAAGTGGACAAAATGGCGAGCAGAGTCCTCCGTCGCGCCTAGCCGGACTCATTCTCAGAAAAAACGAGCTCAAAATTTTCGTTTGCGTGAGCAGCTCGAACCAATTCAATGCGTGCATTTCCTTCCAGTGTTTACACATGTAAACATTTTATGAGCGCCCAAAGCTTGACAACCCTCTCGGAAAGTGAAAGCCGATGTTGTCCAGCGCAAAAAAGCGTGTCCTGCGTGTACAAACCTTTCAGGCGGCGATTTTACTTGTCTCGTATCGCACAGGTCCTCCTCTGGCGCCTTCCAACTGCACGCTGAGCAACCAGACGGAAGAGGCCTTCCTGGCCGAGTGCCGCGAGGACCACATCGGCGGCCCCAGGCAGCTGTACTCGCTGGAGGTGCACGACGTCTCCTGCCACCGGCTGCTGGCCAACCTGACGGCAGACCGGCCGGCCTTCTGGGTCCAGGGAGTGCCGGCGGGCCTCAACGTCGTGCTCGTGCTGTACGCCGCCAATCGGATGGGCCGCTCGCAGCCCGTCCTGCTCAGGGCCGAGGCCGCAGACCGCCACTGGGAGGGCCTTCGACACGGTAAACAATGGCGTGGTTCTTGTGCAATACTCCATCTTACATGCCGCGCGCAGCGGGATAAAAGTTATTGGGGTCAGAGTGTCACCCAATCAGTTAGCGAGGAGTACAAAGAGGAACTCCCTTGTTACCTAGATCACTTTTTTCTGTGTCACTCAGACGTCACTTTTGTCCTCGAAGGTTAGCTTGTCACACAGAACTCGTGCGAATGCGGCAATCTTTGTTTTTCACGTCCGTGCATTCCACAGCACTGAGCACAACTAGTGAGATAAAGCTCTACTTCACCTGATTGAGGAGCGGCGCTGTTTTTAGGGCTTTCCATATTTCCACAACAAAACTTATTCCTTATCTTTCTCTTTTTTTTTTACGTCACCTACCGAAGGCTATCGTGGAGCAAAAATTGGACATGAGATACTGCGTTTGCGATCGGATGGCAGTTGGCTTCTTCCTAAATGAACGCGAGTGTAAGTCAAACGCTGACCCAGCAGTCATATCCCATGTGCGCTGTTCATCGATAGGTGTCGCAAAAATCCAGCTATGGGGCCTCATTACCTTGGGGGTGTAGCCTCGTGAAGCACGTGTCAAGAAAGAAATCGCCTTTCTCGATGACGAGTGAATATGCTGTGTGAGCTTTCTCTAAAAGAAACGTTTTACATGCGACGTGAGTTTCCCGGAGGCCGTCCTCTATGTGTGTTTGTGCAGCTCGGCGGACATCAAATGCGGGGAAAGCCTTTTCCGACCTGACCAACTATTGTTTATTCATTAGTTTTTTGGTTGGGCACTTTGAGGAATCGGAGAAAATGGAACGAATGGGTTTCGAGATATTCAGAGATCAGTCTTCACCTTTTTGTCGCCCAAACCTCAAGCACCGCTATGCAGAAAGAGCGCTGCGGCCATGTTCACACCCATGCGTGTGACAATGACGAGCTATTTATTTTCGGCGCCTCGTCACAATTTCCACAGGACTTTATTAGCGCATCTACCAAAGACCCTCTACCGAGATACACTCTGTTTTGAAGTAGAGTTCTACTGCAGCCGACGCTACACTCCGATGTAGCCAATCAAGCAGTGTCAAATATGTACAGTCACGGCGGTCTTTGCGGATTTTTCTGTCCTCGGCTTAACCGACGATGTACACACGCAAAAAAGGAGTGAAATCGCGGTGAACTGACAGCGTCTGATTGCTATAGTCAGTGATGGTAAACGCACAAAGGCGACTAGCGTCGTGACGCTGCACTTTTGGCGCTGCTTTATTGGAGAGTTTTAGGGAACCGTTTTTGCACGTCCGATACGGTGCAATAGGCCCTCCGGTACGCACTGCCTATATGCGTGTTTTCTGCTGTAGCCTATGCGCAGTTCGTACCGGAGGGCCTTTCGTACACTGTAAAAAAATTTGCCCTCTTTTACGGAGAAATTCTCTGGCACCTATGCTGCCGGAAAGGTCATCCGTAATCCTAATAACGGAAAAATCCTTTTAAACGCATACACAATCCGCAAATTAAAGGATGTTCCGCAAAACAGATTACGGAAAGTGCTCTACTATCCGTAACGCTATTCAAGAGCTGTCCGTAAAACAACGGACTGGAATATGCATTCCGTAAAACCTATTACGGAAATCGCTCTAGTATCCGTAAAAGTGTTTAAAAGTTGTCCGTAAAAGGGCACTCAGAGTAGGCTTTCCGTAAATTATATTACGGAAAGCACTTTTGAGTATCCGTAATCCTATGCGGAGCGTAAGTTTGTCTGCTTCTTGCACAGGGGTTGTAGTGATGTCAGAAGGCCGAGCTCTTATTGACCGATTGAACAAAAAAAAATAGTGGGTAGACCTCATGCTGTCTAGCATTGTGGTCTACCCACCATATCTTCCGCTCAAAGCCAATGAGAGCTCGTCACCTTTCTGACGTCACCGTAATGTCTACGCAAGAAACAGACGACTTGCTCTCCACATAGGGCGGTGTCAATTGAAAGGTGGGCTGTAAAACGAGCTGGATGAATCAATGCCTTCATTTAGCAAACTGAACTTATTATCAACGGTTTTCTTTTTGTGACACAGATTCTCATGAAAACTTTTAAGGTGCAACTCCATTCTGTGAAAAATAGAACTATATTATTAAAATTTTTGACAATGGGCACCGATGTATACAACTGAGTCGTGTTGAGTGCTCTTGTCGAGAAGTGCCACCACCTGTTGTGGAAAGCAGGCAATACAGCTGAGCAATGCATCTGCAGCAAGTTTCCTCAATGTCAGTTGTGTTTTCTTCTGCAAGTTCTGGCATTCAGATCAACATGCAGAATTATAGAAGGCAGTGGGATTACAAAACATTATCTGCATTCTGATCGGCCACTGCGATCATTGCAATTTCAAACAGCGATATAAAGCACGTTCTCAACAACACCAAACGTCACTCTGTCATCTGCGTCGGCACTCATGCTTGAAAATATAGAGAATGCTGTTTTCACATTCCACAGAGACGGAGCTGTGCCTTGACATGTCACAATAGTGTTCACTGCTAAAATAGACCTTTGGTAAGAATATGAGCTCAATGCTTGTAGGAGCAAATTTCTTCAGTTCGTTTTACAGCCAGTCCCTTAGTGATACTGCTCTATACATAGAGTAATGTTCATTATGACGCTGAGACCAACAGGTTTTCTATAAAAAAAAAAGGTTACAGAATTTTGAATTGGAAAAGGATCTCTTTAAAAGAATATTGAGTATTCTTTCCAATGCTCCTTGCAACGATCATGCAATGTCACCTGAATAATTGATCAGAAAATAAGAAAAGTACCTTCGAACACTTTATTTCGGTCCTTGAGAAGCCAAAGTGGAGCCCCGTGGTGTTTTGCCTTTGTTTTCAGATGCTGCATGTAACGTGATGTGCTAAAGAAGAGAAAACAAAGAAAAAATAATTAAATATCTGTATCAAATCAACATGTGCAAATTGAGCTTTGTGCATAAAACACAGCCCCCCTCAGCCCATTTAATTATTAGTCCTGCATCTTATACAAAAGTCAAATGGACATAGCCCCTAATTGTTCATCCTGTGATCCGATATCTAAAACCTATGTTTGACTTGAGGGTCTTGTTCTCCTGTTCCTTAGTCAAAACCGATACACTTCATTCAAGCTTAGATTCGTTCGAAACTGTGAAAAAATGCAATGCCGGAATTACAATAGTGATTTGCTTTATAATGTGAAACATTTCTTGAGAACTGATGAACCAACCGGAAAACTCGATCCAGTTTGAGCAATGCTTTATTTCTAAGGTTCATGAGATGTTGCAGAAGAGTCTATGCAAAACTGGCTAAGCTCATATCCTAGACTTTTCTAAGTTTGGGCAGCCACTTAAAATCTCCTATTAGAACGAAGGGCTACTTGCACTCTTTCGCGTCGTCGAATCAGGTGGTCAGCCTCGAGTGCTTAGAGAACACGAGCATTAAAAACTTTATTTTCTCTTTAGATATCCCTGAAAGTTTTCACAGAACTGAGGGGCTCACCCCCTCAGTTCTGTGAAAACTTGAGAGTGCATTTGTACTAAAACTGCTATCAAAAACTGGGGACTAAGCAGTAGCTTCCTCCCCTGTCCCCAATCCAGGGGTGGAACTCATGAAATGTACTTGGGAGTAGCCACGGGAGCAGCTGAAACAGCTGTTTTGGAGCAGGTTGGGAGCAGCTAAAACTATGCTCTGGAGCAGGCTAGGAGCAGCTCAGATCAGTTTTTATTGCACTTCAGCTTGTGTCTTAGACAAGCACGGGAGCAATATCAATCGTGCTTAGCAGCACAGATGAACATGAGTGGTTAGGGACCTAGGTAGATGGGATAACAGCATAACAGATGCAAAAACTTGAAACTTTGTGAGCCTTACCGCTCATTCACACTGGAAGCGGATCCGCGTTCGCAAAGCGGCTGCGAACGCGGTTGTATAAAGATCCAGTACAATTGCATGCGCACTTGATGTCATCGAGTGCATGTGCAATTGTACTGGATCTTTATACAACCGCGTTCGCAACCGCTTTGCGAACGCAAATCCGCTTCCAGTGTGAATGAGCGGTGAATGAGAATCAAAAAGCAAGTACCCTATGTTTCTGAAGATAGTATCCTTGACATTTTCTGAGTGGATTTCAGTTGCTCAAAATGCAAACCAGCACTGCTTATCGCACAACCCACACGTGCTCGACATAGTAATTATATGTGCGAACCACGTGACGTGCGTAAGCAACGGACGTGGAGTTGCATGGAGGAATAGGGCAACAAATTTCGACTTTATCCTATTGTGCAACTCGATATCAAAGCAGCAGACTACGATTAACGAAGTTATCGTATTTGAAGCGATAAGCAGGAGCAAGGTTAATGTATGCCGAGCAGATTTACCACTCGCGTAAGAGCTGCTGGCCGGCAAGGTTTCGGATCGGACAGTGTTTCAGTTCTATCAAATCACAATTTATCTTGCGGGAATGCAGTTCCAACTTCTAACGATGAAGTACTAAAAGGAATATTTTGCTCATTTGTTTTCAACTGGCTGACGTCCGGATCCCGGGCCGCAGAGCCTCAGGCAATCTGACGCTTAACGGTTCGACCTCAGCTCAGCCGACTTGCTTAACCGCTTATGGTTAAAGAATAACAATCCAGTCGCAGGAGGTGGTGTAGAGCTTAGAATCCCCAGTTTTTTTCGCGCGCTTCCTACTCGGGATACACAGGGAGAATAAACAGAACAAAGGATTACAAGGCCGGTCAGGCTAAACGCGCTCATTGCGGCCAATCAAGTCAATAAAACCGAAACCAAGACAAAATAAAAAAGCTTTTGGCGCACGTTTTGCCATTTGGCGCATAATGGCACAAGGTATTAACTGCGGCGCAGGATGGCGCAGAAACATGCGTCTGGCGCAAAATGGTGCAGCCGTTCCACCCATGCCAATCTCACAATTTGGGAGCTCCATCCTATCCACGTTTGAGCACACCTGTGCACACGATTTTGAGTCGAGCGAGTTAAAAATTAACAGAGTAT